AAAAAAAAATGAGCTGAGATCTGGCCACTGCACTCCAGCCTGGGACACAGTGAGGACCCCAAAAAAAAAAAAAAAAAGAATAAGGCAAAGATGTACTCTTACTACTTCTATTCAATATCATATGGGAATCCTAGCTAGTGTAATAAGACAAGAAAAGGAAATAAAACATATACAAATTGGAAAGGAATAAATAAAATTGTCTTTGTTCTCAGATGACAATTTAATTGTCTGTATAGAACAATTCAGAACTGACCAAAAACAAACAAACAAAAAACCCCTAAAACTAATTGGTGAGAATAGTAAGGTTGCAGGATACAAGGCTAATGTTCAAAAATTGACTGCTTTCCTATATATCAGAAATAAATTATTGGAATTTGAAATGTTAAAAATGCCATTTAAAATACCACCAAAATAATAAAATGATCAGGTTTAAATCTAAAAATATGTACAGGATCTATACGAAGAAAGTATAAAACTCTGATGAAGGAAATCAAAAGATCTAGGCAAATGGATGAGTAATATTTTATATTCATGATTTGGAAGATTCAATACTATGGAAATGTCAGTTCTTCCCAACCTGACCTATGGAATCTATAGATCTATATAGAATATCAATCAAAACTCCAGCAAGTTATTTTGCAGATAATGACAAACTGATCCTAAAGTTTATATGGAATGCCAAAAGACCTACAGAGTCAAAACAATACTAAAGAAAAACAACGTTGGAGAACTCATACTAATTTTAAGATTTATTATATAGCTACAATAATCAAGATAGTGTGGTATTGGTGAAGGAACAGGCACACAGATCACTGGAACAGAACAGAGAGCCCAGAAATAGACCCACACAAATATAGCTAACTGACCTTTGACAAATTCCGATTATAAGGACATTCTAGAAAAGGCAAAACCTCTAGAGATAGTAAAATGATCAGTGATTGCCAGCAGTTCAGGTGAAGGAGGTAAAGATTGAACGTGTGGAACACAGGAAGTTGTTTAGGGTAGTAAAACTACTTTGTATGATAGTGTAATTATGGATACATGGCAATATGTGCTCGTTAAAATGATTATATATCATTTTATACAAATTTATATCATTTTATACAAAAAAAAAAACAAATACGTAGTGCCATGTCAATGCAAAATTGACTTTATCATATACAGATTAAAAAAATCATTTAAGAAATCCAGAGAATTCTAGGAAGCAATGCAGAATGTGTCAAAATAATCTAACTGCATTTAAAATGTAAGAAACAACTTCACTGAAGAGGTTGGAAGAAAAAGATGCTGACCTAAGTAACTTTGGAAATGAGTGAAGTCTTTAAATGCAAAAGAAACTGCACATAAGCACTCTACTGAGAAAGTTGTTTCCCACATGGGTCCAGGTTATCAAAACCCTGATGATGCTCCACACATGTACTGGACCTGACCACTTAAGTAAATGGCTGGGAAATGATGGGAGCCACGTTTTTCACTGTTGGAATGGAGAGGAGAAGGGCCAGGTGTGGTGGCTTATACCTGTAATCCAAGCACTTTGCAGGCCAAGGCCGGAGGATCATTTGAGTCTTGGAGTTTGAGATCAGCCTGGACAACATAGTGGGAATCCATCCCTACAGAAACAAACAAACAAACAAAACTAGCTAGGTGCAGTGGCATGCACCTGTAGTCCCAGTTACTTGGGAGGTTGAGGTATGAGGATCACTTAAACTCAGAAAATCAAGGCTGCAGTAAACTGTGATTGTACCACTGCACTCCAGTCTGGGTGACAGAATAAGACCATGTCTCAAAAAAATAATAATAAAAAAGAAAAGGGGAGAAGGCCAGAATGATCCATGTGGCAATAGATTCGTGTTGGAGACATCAGTAAATTCATATTCAGCATAATATAGACACAGATTATTACGTATGAAAATATTAATGGACATGTGTATATAAACAGGTTAGTAAGCACACATATACTTTCTTGCTCTGTCAGCTTAGAGTGCCTAGAAGTAACAACACTCCAGTAGCAATAAGCACATCTAGGGCTCAGAGTTTAGTTTCTAATATCATTCTCCAACAAAAGGAATCAGACTCCTTGGAGAATGTCTGATTCTAGGACTGGAAACATAAAAGATGAGAATCTTTTCTAGTGCTTACCTTTTATAATGCTCACCTTTTAGACCATCTTCTAGTGCCAGAAAATAAGCAAGTACTCAGAAAAACTTAAATCTGCACTGATGGGGTTATGTTAAAGGGATATGGGAGACAACAGAAAGAGCTCCCAATGTTGAAAGCTGGAACAATTAGAGCAACAAATTATTATTGGATTATAACTCAAAGTATAAAATAAATATCCATGAGTCCACACCAATAGAAATAAATAATTGAAAAAATAAATGGAGAGGAGATCATCTCCCATGCAGAATTCCAAATTATCTATGTAGACACTTTACCCTCAAGGAGGTAGACTTACGTCCCCATTCCTTAAATGTGTGCTGCTCATAGTGACTTCCTTCCAAAGAGCGCAGTGTGGAAATGTGGAGGAGTCGTAAGCACAAAGCTGTCCCCAGTTGATCCCTGCCAGGTTTGACCTCACTCCCAAATTCCCACAGCAGGATTTTTGTATGTGTGTCTTACAACTTGTATTTACCAATTATTTATTTTTGTGTTAGTCAATGCAACTAGATCAAACTCCTTGAAGACAGAATACACAGGGAGCTGAGCCCCCAGAGAGGCTTAGTAAATTTCTCAACTTTGCCCCACTTTTAAGTAACAAAGCCCAAACCTGAGCTCAAGTCCTCTAAATCCAAGTTCCTTGGAGCTTCTCTCTCATGAGTAGGCTTCTGTGTGAAGATACAGCCCTTCAAGAAAACAGCCTTCACCTAGAATGGCAAAAGGAATGAAAGAAACACTTCATTATCACATTGCTGTAAGGAAATACATGAGCCTGGGTAATTTATAAAGAAAAGAGGTTAAATTGACTCACAGTTCCACATGACTGGGAATGCCTCACGAAACTTACAATCATGGCAGAAGGCGAAGGAGAACAACAGCACCTTCACAGGGCAGCAGGAAGGAGGAGTGCCAGCAGGGGAAATGCCAGATACTTATAAAACATCAGATCTCATGAGACTCGCTCACGAGAACAGTATGGGGGAAACCACTCCCATGATCCAATTACCTCCACCTGGTCCTGCCCTTGACATGCGGGGATTATGGGGATCACAATTCAAGGTGAGATTTGGGTGGAACACAGAGCCAAAACATATCAGATGGATTTTTGTAAAGATGTTAAAATATAATAAAATAAATAAGCTACCTTATTGCACACCAACATTTCATCAGACATTATAGACATAATATCTAGTATCTTCACTCTTTACAACATCCCTACTGTAAAATAAGGCATCAGGACCTTTGTTTTACAGATACAGAGACTGAAGTTCAGAGTGGTAAAATGACTGCTAAAAAGCTGTAGAGCCACAATTTAAACCTGGTCTATCTGATTCCAGAAACACAGGCTTTCCCCAACACATGCTGGCATTTTTTGTGCAGTGAGTTTACGAAAGGTAAATCAGTAGTTAGTCTTTCTCTATTAACATAAGGAGTTGTAATTAGGTTCAAATGCTAGATGTTGAGCAGCTTGGGCACCTCCTGTTGTTGCTAACAGCCTCTTCAATCAGGCTTCAGCCTATAATTTTGAGCCATTTTTTTGAAATCTTTGCATGCAACCTACTTTCAACTACGCATAATTCTAGCAGAGCCCTTGTAGAAACAGGAAATTATCAGAAATGCAGACAATTACCTTAAAAAGCTGGAGAAGGACATAGATGTGGTGGACTTTACAGATCCAATTGTATCTGCTTGCCAAGAACACATGGCCATCAAGCAGTGGTGCAGGATGAGAACTCCAGTCTGCTTATTCCCAAGTCCATGCATTCTCCACTCTGCTGCCCTGTGTGTAAAAATCACTCCTCTTTCTCTGTCCTCACTCAAGGCCCACTGGACCTTCTGATGGATGGGAAAACTGGCACCATCATCTCTTCTCTCCTGCATTCAAACTGTTTACCTGCACCTTCCTGCCAGTGTAGCCATGTAGTCAAGTGGCAACTGAAGACGGTGCACAGCTGCTGTCCCCTGGGAGAAATGCAACCCCAGCAAAGGTCCTTGTCACGGTGCTGCATGCATGCTGATGGGAAACTGCAAATAAGACTTGGTCTTCTGGTTGCCAATGGAAATGGGACATCCAAGGCAGATAGCATTTTAGTTAGAAGACACAGGATTCCTCCTGTATAGGTGGTTTGATTACAGGCAAATTCTTTAAACTCTGAGTCTCAGCTTCCTTGGCAGTAAAATGGGAATATGGATACCCACCTTGCTGGGGATATTAGTGACCATTAAAAAGTAGGTTAAAGTTGTTGGAAAGGTCTAGCAGCAACTCCCATGTGAAAGATGTGATTTTTTTATCAATCATCCCTTTTTTCCCTTGCTGGTGAGAGGACTCTCATCCTAATCATCCCCTACTGTCAGAAAATACCCATTGTAATTGTACTATTTTCCTGGCTGATACCATGATGTGGCCCAGCCCTAGCGACCCATCACCGGCCTCACGCACTGCTCTGTGGATGAGAAGGGTTAGCACTTACACAAGCACTTGATAAAACACAAGCACTTGTATGGAGTCTGTTTATAGGTAACTGTGTGAGGGCTGTTATGTGTCCATGGATCAAGGCCAGGAGAAAGGATAAGATTTGGGGGCCATAAAGTGTGAATCCTGATTTTGCTATTTATGAGCTTTATGATCTTGTAAAAATCACGTCAGTTTTCTATGCCATTGAATTTCCTCATTTGTAAAATGGGAAAATAACCCTGATTTGAACTGGTGATGGTAGACCCCAGGAGCTGGCACATGTTTTGGCAACTGGAGTGATGGAGGGTGAATCTCTCTATTGAACACCACACAGGGAACAAAACGCAAGACACAATTACAAATAAATGCTTGCTACATAAAGCAAACATGGGTTTTGTTATAAAGAGCTTTGTGCAAAACATATTTATTTTTTTAAGTTCCCTTTATAAAAATAGAATATATAACAAATACAAAACATAACAGCAGAGAATCTGGCTGTCACCGCACAGTCCATACCTTATGCAGCGGAGGATGGGGTGTGGATCGCAGGGTGGGGGTCTCCTCCAGGGCCCTGGGGAGGTGTGGCTGAAAGGAAGGAGTGTTTATGTCCTTGTGATACGGAGGAGAGTGGGCCATCTGGAAATTCATGAGACAAGATTAAACCGAGTCCGTGAAAGTCTGCACGTGTTGGGGGCTCTGTGCCTTCTGCATGTGCAATTTATATTTGTGAGTTGTACATTATAAACAGACAACACTGGTGGGCAGGAGAAAATAATCCCTTCTGTCTTCAGATGCTCCCGCGGGGCTTTCCCTGGGGCTAGTCCATGCCCAAGGCCCTCGTGGCCTTTTTGGCATTCAGAAAGTTCTTCTTTTTCCTGGGAGGAACATGCAGCGAAATCTCTGGCTCCTTTGGATTTCTGAATATAAAGAGCTTCTCTCCTGTGTTTAATACATCAATGGTTTCTGCCCCGACAATGGGTACAGGGGCCAGTTCGCCAATGGGCTCCAGTGACAGGTGTGGCCAACTTCCTTTTCCAGAGAATATCATCCTCTCTCTGAGAGGGAGACACGACTTCTTTAATACGCTAAAGAAAGAACAAAAGATCAAATTCAACATTTTTGGCAATGTACCCGCTGGAGTGTTCTGAGTTCTCCAAGAGAATCTCTCTCTGGGTCCTGAATTCCCCAAGGAATTCCCTTTAAGGAAAGGTTATTTTCCCGCTTGGTCACCAGATTGCTGGAGAATTAGCTGAAGCCTGTAACAGTGGTGCACGGTAGTCAGCTCTTCCTGGCTCATGACCATTCCATTTTCAGGAGTTTTTTGGTTTGTTTTGTTTGAGATGGAGTTTCGCTCTTGTTGCCCAGCTGCAGTGCAATGGTGTGACCTCGGCTCATTGCAACCTCCGCCTCCTGGGTTCAAGTGATTCTCCTGCCTCAGCCTCCTGAGTAACTGGGACTACCCACGCATGCCACCATGCCCAGCTAATTTTTGTATTTTTTTTTTTAATAGAGACGAGGTTTCACCACATTGGCCAGGATGGTCTTAATTTCTTGACCTCATGATCCATCCACCTCGGCCTCTTAAAGTGTTGGGACTACAGGCGTGAGCCACCACACCTGGTCCATTTTCAGGGGTATTGCAAGTCCACTGTCATCATGTTGTTAGTGTGACATCAGATCAGCCATGGTGGGAATACCTACACCATGGACATTGGCAAATGCTACCAATCAGAAACCACTGCCCGCCTCCCCACCAGCCAATTGTTAAACATTTATGAGTACACCTATGGGCCTCACCCTAAAAGCAGGCTGGTGAAACCTGGTTACAAAGCAACAGTTAGAAGTCAGGCAAAATGTGTTTGCCATAGTAGACTGTGGCACACTTTGAGAATGTCCCATAAAAAGGTTGCTGGAATCCTGGCCATGGGCAGTCCAACCCCTGACTCCCAGGCTGCTCTTGATAATGATGGTGACCACCACCAAGAGCGCTATACATCCTGAAAGCCACAGCGCTCGCTCTCTGCCCAAGCAGGGCAGGACAAGGCCATGTCACTGGGGATTCACCTGCTCCATGTCACTGCAGGCTTGCTGACTCTCCCAGAAGGCATGTGGTAGATTCCGCTCCATTGCCATCACCACTAATTACTGCCCTTGCAGCTAGTAAGTCTGCACAAGGATTCAAACCCACCTCCATCTCTCCACCATGGATCCATGGTGCCTCTAGGCAGAGCAAAGGCCTGCAGAGGGAGCCAGGATAGTGGGACCATCGTCTCTTGATCTGTATCCACTCCACTTCTATTAGTGCAGCCTAGGAATGTCCCTAATGGAATATTTTAGAGTTCTATAGAACGAATTTAATTTTCTTTATCTAGGACTGCATGTACTTCTCTTGGCCAATATCCTGATCTAACTTATCTAAGACTATATTATGATAACCAGGCTACTAATGGTTCCAAGCTTTTTATCACGAACAATCCATGAAGCTTGGTCTCAGCGCCTTCAACTGAGCTCTGAGAAATTGTGGAAGGGGCAGGACTGAGGTAGACATGTCCCTTGAACAGCCACTGTTTCCGGAGTACACACTGACATCACTGTTTAACCCCCTGTGAATCTACCTGATGTTGCTTTTTGTTTCTACATCTTCGCTAGCTGGAATCACAGGAGACACTGGTCAACACTTTGCAGCAATTTAAGACCACGCACACACTGATATCACTGTTTAACCGCCTATGAATCTACCTGATGTTGCTTTTTGTTTCTACATCTTCCCTAGCTGGAATCACAGGAGACACTGGTCAACACTTTGCAGCAATTTAAGACTACTCTGCCCCTCACTTCTTTCTGTTCTCTAAGTGTGTGATAGACACAACTAAGGAAAAAGGCACTGGGGTGAAGGTAAAAAGCGCAAGGCTGGAAGTTTAAGGAAATAAAGGGGGCAGTGAGGCAGCCCCAGATCTCATGGCCACTGTTTACCAGCTGCTGGCCTGGGGCCTCTTGTTGTGACCTCCCTGAGCTTCCATTTTATCATCCCCACTGTCTGGAAGGCTCAATGCAGCAAGACATGAAAGGGCTTTGTGAACAGTAGCTATAAGGAATTCTTCTAATTACATTCCATTAAAAATAGCCATTAGCTAAAATAAATACAGTAATTTAAATGTTAATAAATATTGAGAACATTCACTGCTAGCCACAAGCTCATCTTCAGCTTCTAAACTCAGCCCACTGAATAAAGATTTGTGGTCTTCAGGGTCACAAATCTTTGTCTGTTTGCAGCAACCTCCTTTTCCTTGTCATCTCCTGCCTCCCCAGCCCGGCCCACAAGCGGCTTAGCTCACCCGCTCCCCAGCCACACGGGCAGCGGTCCATCATTACCTCTGCTTTCTCTTGCGGGCCCACAGCATCTTTTCTAATCCTCTGCTTATTAGATCTCCTCGCAGTTTGCTGTCGAAGGCTTGCCACCAGCTCTGGTGTTTCCTGCAGGCAAAAAGCGAGTCTTATAGTTTCAAAAAGAATAGAATCTTTGGCCAGGTGTGGTGGCACACGCCTGTAATCCCAGCACTTTGGGAGGCCGAGGTGGGCGGATCACCTGAGGTCAGGAGTTCAAGACCAGCCTGGCCAACATGGTGAAACTCAGTCTCTACTAAAAACTACAAAAATTAGCTGGGTGTGGTAGTGGGCACCTGTAATCCCAGCTACTCAGGAGGCTGAGGCAGGGAGAATTGCTTGAACCCGGGAGGCAGAGGTTGCAGTGAGCCGAGATTGCGCCATTGCACTCTAGCCTGGGCAACAGAGGGAAAGTCCATCTCAAAAAAAAAAAAAAAGAAGAATAGAATCTTTAAGTGATGAGTAATCCTACCCATCTCTCAATGCCACCTTTGGTTGCCACTAGGACTCCTGCATCCCCAAAGCATTCGCCATTTATTCTTTCACTCATTCACTGCAGATCCATCAAACGCCTTCTCCAGCCTCATGAAGATGCAACCTCTGCCCTCAAGGGGCCAAGTCTAGGGGATCACAGACAGAAGAAAGCTGACTGGGATTGGGGGAGACATTTGAGCAAAGGGAGCCCTTGGGGCACTCACGAAGGAATGGGATCTGTGCGCTGACTTACATACTGGCTGCCTCCCCCACTGGGATGAATGCTCTACGCAAGCAAGGCTTTGTCACTTACCCACTGCATAGCCCTAGTACCTAAGACAGAGGACACAGTGGGAGCTCCACAGGTGCCTTATGCATATACAAATACAGAACTTGGGAAAGCACAAGGGAAGCCTGGAAGGTGGGCTAGGCAGGGAGCCCTAAAGCCACGAAGGTGTGTGGTCCTAGACTGAAGCAGAGGGCATTGGAGAGTGTTGCCCGGGAGAGTGGGAGGTGTCAAGTCTATAAAGGAAGTGCTAGACTCATTCCCCTGCCTTGGCGGCTCACACCTGCCCAGCTGGTGGTGGAGATGGAGCCTCTCCTACACTGGGCCAGGCAGGCCGTCTCCCAGGAGTCTAACTCCTGGAGCAGAGAAGGGCGGTCCTCTGAAGGCAGCACCCCAGAGAGGACGCCCCGAGTGCTTCCCGGGCCCTGCCCTTGCTGGGGCCTGAGCACTGGCTCTTTCCTGGATTCTGACATGGCCCTCAATACAACCCATTCTTGCTTGGATTAACTATGCAGTTCCTATTGCTTGAAACCCAAGACTCGTAACTGATGTAATGGCCAGATGCCAGGTGCTGGGGACACAAGAATAGTGTATGCCTTGCCCTCAGAGACTGGGTTAGTGGCTTGGGACTCCAGAGTCATCCAGGCTGCCCGGCCATGAGGCTGGGCAAACAAAGGCCATGCTCATGCCCATGGTGACACTGACCTCAAGCCCTCTGGCCTTGTCCCAGCTTAGCCTGTCCATCTCTCCCCACCAGCCTCCCAAACTAAGCTGGCTGCAGGGGAAGCACCAAAAACAAGGTCCACAGGGGTGGCAGGCAGGTGGAAGTGGCCTCGCTGCAGCCACACACGTTCCTACTCCAGAGTCACCTCCTTGAATACTTGCCACCTACATGTCTGTGCAGGCAGGCAAACAGTGCACTGGGAAAACCAGGCTGCAAAACCTGGTTTTATTTTTAATATTATTAATAATATTAATACGATTGGCTCCTAATATTCCATGGAGGAGCGTAGCATAGAGCATGTAACTGTCATCCTGTCACTGGACACTCAGTTTGGCAGAGGTGGCCTCCCTGTGGCTCCCTCTTGTTCCTCTGACCAGCCCACACCCAGCCCTCTGACTACAAATACAACCAGACCTCTGGACCCTAACACCCAGCCAGCCTTCTGACCTCAGGCCCCTGACCATGCCCAAACCCAGCCCTCTGACCTCAGCCCACAGCCAGCCCTCTGACCACTTCCACACCCAGCCCTCTGACCACGCCCACACCCAGCCCTCTGACCACGCCCACACCCAGCCCTCTGACCACGCCCACACCCAGCCCTCTGACCACGCCCACACCCAGCCCTCTGACCTCAGTCCACACCCAACCCTCAACCTGACTACACTTAGCACTCTGTCCACACCCACAGCCAGCTCTCTGACCAGCCTACACCCAGTCATCTGACCATTTCCACACCCAGCTCTCTGACCACACCCACACCCAGCCCTCTGACCACGCCCACACCCAGCCCTCTGACTAGACTAAAGCCAGCCCTCTAACTGCGGTCCACATCCCACTTCCTGACCATGCTGGGCCCCAAAGCCACTAGGAAGGCTCCTCGCCCCTGTAGCCTCCTGCCCACACCCGCGGCTGTTGTTCCCTCTTCCCCACCCTCCCCCTCACCCCAGTCAGACTCTATTCACCCTCTGCAGTGCTGCTTGGCTTTTTGAGTCAGATACTCTGATAAAAAGTATCTCTGATAAAGAAAACATTACCCCTTTTCTCAGGACAAATGCTATCTACACAATCATGACAGTTCAGCAGGCTCTCGGGCTCCCAGATGCCCTCCTGGCCTCCTCTGCATCCTTGCTGAGGCTGTGAGCTCTGCAGCCTGGTGCTCAACATTTTCATCCTGACCATGGCTTTCCTTGCAGCCTCATTCCCCACCTACTTCATTCTCAAGGGGCACTGCTGGCTGCCCCCTAAACCCGCCTTACTCCACACCCCTTCCTGCCTTTCCCCATAGAGAACCTTTACTGACCAAATTCACACGTGGGGCCCCATCTTAAAGGAGACTGTCTATACAGAGTTACCCATAATTAAGGAAAAAATGGGCCCAAACCGAATGTCCAGTGACAGAATGACAGTTACATGCTCTGTGCTGCACCCATTAGCATGAGGAGCCAGTAAAAATAATATCCACCTGTGCCAGTGTCAATTACGTTGAAAGAATAAAATTTAAATTAATAACACTAGGAGGAAATATAATCTAGTGATGGGATAAGAATTATATAGGGGGATGTTTGCATGAGCGTTAAAAGGTAAGGAGCAAAATTGCTTCTGCTATAAGATTCTGAAATGCAGAATGTAGCAAGGCTGTATCCACAGTGTGTGCACTCCACACTCGACAAATACACATATTTACATGCACAACACACACACACGTACCAACACACAAACACATGCTCCCACACTTGCAGAGAAACACATTCTGGAGGAAGAAATGTAACAGGATGCTAACAGTCATTTTTCCAGGTGGTAAAACCATGGATATTTCTCTCTCTTCTTCCTTGTTTATGCATGTTTTACATTTTCTTTAATGAGCATATATGAAATATTTATGGCTGTGGGTAAACTTATTAAGATTCTATTTAAAAAATAAATTGGTGACAAAATCAGAAAGTATGGGCAAAACACATGGGCCTCCCATGACCTCGAGGACTCACGGGGACCCTTCTGGACAGCGACGTGCCCCGGGAGGCAGCCCCTCCACGGCACTCACCTCCGCCTGCCCACGTCGGCCTGCTCCGCTCCGCCATCGCCCTCAGCTGCGTGGTCCGGATGTCTCTCGCTACCCGAATCCAGCAGGGCCAGCAGCTGAGGCTGTGAGGCCGTGGGCAGCACCACACTCAGGAGCCGGCGAAGCGTGGCCCCGGGCACCACGGCCATCCTCGCCAGGTACGATGCCAGTCTCAGCTCCTACAGGAAACAACGGAGGGAGCTCAGATCCTGGCCGCCTCTCAACTAGAACCACCATTTTTAATTTATCACATTCTGAGGACATTCTGTCCTGGAGTGATGAATATTTCAGTAGCTTCGTCTGGAAAACATGTTCCCGAACTTTCAGAGCTGTCAAAAAAAAAAACCTATTTGGTCAGCAACCTTGGCTCCCCAGGACCCTTCTAAAGCCTCCGTCCATCCCGTCCAACTGCTCTCAAGTCACTGGGGCAGTGCCCAAATCCCCACAGCAGAAGCCCTGCAGCAGAGTGATTCAAAACGAAGGTACTTTCTCCTCCCGCTCCTCACATTCCGTGAGGCCATTAGGCACCAGGAGAGCAGTGCGGACTCTGGAAACAACAGAAGTGCCCCTAAACCAGTGGACAATTAAAGACACTGTGCTATACCCATGCCACAGGATACCACTCCGCGGTCAGAAGAAAGAACTGGAAGGATCCCAGAGGCATTATGTCGAGTGGAAACAGCTGGTCTCCAAAGGTCTCGTGCTGCGTGACTCCATGCATGGAACCACCGGGGAGTGGTGAGACTTGGAGCTGGAGAGCGGCACTGGATGCCGGGGTGGGGCAGGGGAGGTGGGTGTGGCCTTAAAGGGGCAGCCCAGGGTGGCCTTTGTGGTGGTTGACAGCTCTGTGTCTTGATGATGCTGCTGCTAGTTACATGAATGTACATAGGATAAAATAACAGAGAACTATACGTACATTTTACATCAATGTCAACTTCCTGGTTCTGATCCTGTCTGACAGGAACCATTGGGGGAAACTGAGTGAAAATGGGGAGCAGGGCCCTGAAACTCTCTATACTAGCTTTGTAACTTCTTGTGAATCTAAAATAATTTCAAAATTAAAAGCTTTGGCCAGGCATGGCGGCTCACATCTGTAATCCCAGCACTTTGGACAGCTGGAGAGGAAAAGAGGCCCAAAGACAGAGCTATCAGGCGTCCAACACACAAAGGCCATGAGAAGGAGCAGTGTCCAGCAAGGGGCCTGCGCCGGGGCAGCCAGCGGTGGGAGGGAACGAGTCCAGGTGCCAGAAGCCAAGGAAAGAATGTGTTCAGAAGGGTGGGCTGGGGGATCAGAGACCACAGAGAGGTCAGGAGAAACAAAGACAGGGACTCAACCACTTGGAAACATGGGGTCACTATGACCTTGGTAAGTGCTTTCAGTGAAGGCACGGGGAAGGTGCTGTTCCAAATACCAAAGCTCCTTCCACGTCCTGACGCTTCCCATCCATGGCCTCCCAGCACCGTCACACTGAACTACTCGTTCTTCCCTGACCATCCTGCTCGCCCAGGCCACTAAGCCCTTACCCATGAGCTTCCTTCAGCCTGGGGTATATTTCTCCCAGGCTACTCTGTCTCTCTCCAGCCCATTCTTTTGGACTCTACATGAGTCTTCCCCGACCCCATCTTCTGGGTCAGGTGTCCCTCGAATTGGTTTTAAGCAACTCTGCTGTAACTGTCCCATTCCTAGTGTGCCTCTGGAACTAGGCTCTTAGGATGAAGTCAGTGACACACGCTTCTCTGTCCCTAGCACTTAATCCAGTTCCTGGAACAGAGCGAGTGACCAACATTTGTTGGATACAAGATGGATAAACAGTGACTTCACAAACACCCTGCAGATTCACCTCTTCCTGAGGCAGGGGTCTAAACCTTTATAGCTGGGATCCCACCAGTCAATGTAGGGACAGGTCAGCCCATTGTCACAGCCCTTCCAGTTCCAGTGGTCCCCATCAGTAATCCTCCAGACAAGTCAATTCACTGGGTCAAGTCTTACTAAAATTGGTGACACAAAAAGCATCCACATGGGTCATGAGCTTTGAATGGGATGCCACTATCTACAGACAGAAATGGACCACAAACGAAACACTTGTACACCGCTGGCAGGGATGTAAACTAGTTAAACCACTATGGAAAACAGTATGGAGGTTCCTTAAAAAAAAAAAAGTAGAACTACCATTCGATCCAGCAATCCCACTGCTGGGTATATACCCAAGGAAAAAAAGTCATTATATGAAAAAGACACATGGACATACATGTTTATAGCAGCACGATTCACAACTGCAAACATAATGGAACCAACCTAAGTGCCCATCAATCAACAAGTGGATAAAGAAAATATGGTACATATACACCATGGAATACTACTCAGCCAAAACATGGAATGAAATAATGGCCTTTGCAGCAACTTGGATGGAGCTAGAGGCCATTATTCTAAGTGAAGTAACTCAGGAATGGAAAACCACATATTGTATGTTCTCACTTATGAGCAGGAGCTAAGCTATGAGGATGCAAAGGCATAAGAATGATATAATGGACTTTGGGGACTCAGGGGGAAGAATGAGTGGGGAGGTGAGGGATAAAAGACTATACATTAGGCGGGGTGTGGTGGCTCACACCTGTAATCCCAGCACTTTGGGAGGCCGAGGCAGGTGGACTGCCTGAGGTCAGGAGTTTGAGACCAGTATGGCCAACGTGGTGAAACCCTGTCTCTACTAAAAATACAAAACAATTAGCCAGGCGTGATGGCATGTGCCTGTAATCCTGGCTACTCGGGAGGCTGAGGCAGGGGAATCGCTTGAACCAGGGAGGTGGAGGTTGCAGTGAGCTGAGATCGTACCACTGCACTCCAGCCTGGGTGACAGAGTGAGACTCCATCACACACACACACAAAAAACAAAAAACAAAAAAACACTACACATTGGTACAATGCACACTGCTCGGGTCGTGGGTGCACCAAAATCTCAGAAATCACCAATGAAGAACTTATCCATGTAACCAAAAACCACCTGTTCCCTAATTAAAATAAACAAATAAAATTAAAGAAACGGACCATAAAGCAACACAGGGACACAGCTATCTAGGCAGAGGAGGGTGACAGAGAGGCCCGGAGTGGCCAGTGGACAGCCTCTCTCCCTACTTTCTCCCTGCTCGTCTCCTCAGAATGAAGGAACAGCAGGAGGAAGAAGGACAAGGAGAGAAACGGAGGACTAAGCTTCCCTGATGATTCTTTTCTCTGGTACAAAAAGAAAATGGCAAAATATGGCTTCCATGAGCGTTATTGCTGGCCTTTTTTATGACACAGGGATGCCTTAGGGTATGTGATAAAATCTACAAGCCTTTTCTCCGAAGAAAACTTCAAGTACTGAGTCATGCAGGGCCTGGTGTGCTTGAATCCTGTGTGGCGGCCCTTTTGTTTCAGAGTTCATTTAGTACCTATTTCTTTTGCAGATCTGCGATGAGCTGGGAGTGAAGTGGCCATCTTCCAGACTGGATGTGCTGGTTCATTTCATGTGTCCATTTGGCTGGGCCACTGTGCCCAGATGCTCAGTTAAGCATTCCTCTTGCTGTTTCTATGGGGGTGTTTTGGGATGAGATTAACATTTAAATTGCTGGACTCTGAGGGAAGTCAATTGCCTGCCATAATGTGGCTGGCCTCAGCCCATCCGCTGAAGGCCTGGAGAGAACAAAAAGGCTGACCAGCCCTGAGCAGAAGATAATCCTTTCAGCAGATGGCCTTGGGATTCTAATTTCACCTCCTTCCTGAGTCTCCAGCCTGCAGGTCAACCCTGCAGAATTTGGACTCACCAGCTTCCACAATCATGGGAGCCAATTCCTTCAATAAATCTCTTTCTCTACAGAGACGCATCCCATCAGTTCTGTTTCTCTGGAGGACTCTTTTTATTACACAGGAGTTGGGAAGAAAGAAATGCAGCTGAGTAGATATTACTGGGCAGACTACACAAAGCACCAAGTTGGGGACGGAGAAAAACAAGAGCCTACCTGCTCCCTGCTGCCTAGAGCTTCCGGTCTGGCAGCATTTATTCCTCATAGAGCCAATTCTTCAGCAGAATGCTATTGTTTGAACATTTGTGTCTCTTCCAAAACTCATGTTGAAACTTAACCCCAAATGCCACTGTATTAGGAAGGGGGGCCTTCTGAAGGTGATGAGGTCATGAGGGCTCTGTCCTCAAGAATGGGATTAGTGTCTTATAAAAGGGCTCCAGGGAACTAGCTTAGCCCTTTTTACCTTCCCATTCCCTCTGCCACATAAGGACACAGCTTTGCTGTCCTCCAGAGGATGCAGCAACAAGGGACCATCTTGGAAGCAGACAGCAGTTCTCACCAGACCCTGCATCTGCAGATGCCTTGATCTCGGACTTTCCAGCCTCCAGAACTGAGAAAATTGATAAAGAATTTCTATTCTTTATAAATTATCCAGTCTAGGAATTTTGTATAGTAGCAGAAACAGACTGAGATGCATACAGAGTTCACAATTTAAAAGGGCCCACAATCTAGAAATGAACCTGGGTGAAATTCCACTGGTGACGCTGGCTTTCTGTGAAGTCTCAAAGTAACAAAGAAAAAGGCGGGGGAATCAAAGTTGAGAGTGGGAGATGGCCCAGTTACGCAGAGACACAGGCCGGAGTGGTCATCTGCTTCAGACCCTTCAGAGCTGGTCAGGAAGAGCCGAATCTGTGCAGCACCACGCTGGGCTGAATCCCAAGCCCGCCACGAGCAGTGGCGAGCCCTCCTGCCCTCACCACCTCTCTGTGCCTCAGTCCCTTTATTCATGAAACAGGGGAATCCTGCCTGTTTCCCATCTTTCTGTAAGGATTAAATGAATAACAGACAGAAGTGCCTAGGACAATACTCAGGGTATGGCAGTGTTCAGGAAGCACCAGCTCCTCCCCTGCCCTGTTTGGACACTGTCACTCCAGGGATAACACTGGCACCTTGTTTGGTACAGTCAACAGAATAATGACCCCTCCCCAAAATGTCCATGGTCCCATCCTGGGACCTGCGAAGATGTCATCTTACAAGGCGAAGGGTACTTTGCAAGTGGGAGTAAGGTTAGGGGTCTTGAGATAGGATGGGAAAGTGGTTATCTTAGATTATCCAGGTGGTTCCAACATAATCACCACGTGGGTCCTTAAAAGCAGAGACCCTCCCTGCTGTGTTAGGTCAGAGAGAGATGTGATGAGGACGCTTGCTGGCTTTGAAGATGAAGAAAGGAGGCCATGAGCCAAGGAATGTAGGTGCCACCGGAAGCCAGGAATATCCCCTGGCTGGCAGCCAGCAAAGAAATAAGGACCTCAGTCCTACAACCACCATGGGCTGAACCCTGCCAATTACTTGAGTGAGCAGGAAACAGACTCTCCCCCTAAAGCTTCTGAAAGGCAGGCAAATCTGCCAACACCTTGATTTTAGCCTGGAGAAACCCATGTTGGATTTCTGACCTACAGAACATTAAGGTAAGTTTGTAGCTGTGCTAAGCTGCTGTTTGTGGTCATTTGTGACAGCAGTGATAGGAAACGAATCCTTTCGGGAAGCTGGGTGTGCCTGTGGATGCAGCCAGCTGGACACGTAAAAGCGCCCCAACTCCTCCTCCCTGCTGACTCCCTTCTCAGAGGCTGGAGAGTAAGTGACTCGCACCTCCCCTGCAGCGAACAGGGCCCACGGGTCAGCTCTCAGGTTGTGAGGGGAATCTGCTGCAGGGACTTGGAGGCATTTGCTTCCTTGATGAGAAAGAACAGGCATGGTGGCAGTTCTTTGACCTCTTACCTCCTTGCTCTGAAAGTTATGGCAGCTGGGGTGGAAAGAATCGCAGCACATGACCCTGATATCACTGCATCAGCAAGCACCTCTCCAGAGGCATGTGGCTTGCATTCACCACCGTCTGAAGTCATATTTCCTGCTACTTACAGACACCAGAAGCACAGGAAACCCATTGCAGGATGTGTATAAAACCTGAATGGTAGCAGGCAGACAGGTACGTGACTGCATAAGGCTCAGCGCACAGCCTCAGGGCTCTGTATCAGGAAGGGAGGTAAGTCTGCAGCTCCGGCCAAGGATGAGGAAGGTTGACTGATCTCAACTCAGAGGTGTAGTGTGGGGTGCAGTCTCACTGACTGATGGCTCTGGCCCAGTTGTCTCTTACCCACTTTGTTCCTGGTAGAACCTACTTTTTGTATATTAAACTTAGTTAAAGATTGAGAAGAAGGAGAATATTTGGGTGCCTGCCAAATCACAGAAAAGACATGACCGGGGCACACATGATTACGGTTGTGGTTGCTGCCATTAGCACTGATTAAGCGTCCTCTGTGTGCTGGGCCCATGCTAGAGGCTCTGCACACATCTGCTCTGCAGGTTCCAAGGCTGGTTTTTCATCACCATCCTGGAGGTGAGGAAATGTGGATTCTCAGAAAAACATGAAATGAAGTGCTGGCAAGGGGCGGCCTCAGACCTGGCCAGTCGGTTCTCACCTGGCTGCACAGGGTTGCGAAGGTGTCTGCCTCCATATTTTCCAACAAGTCTTCTAGCACGGCACTGTTCTGTTGCTCCTCTCTCAAACTGGAGTGAAAATAAAATATACGTTGAGTTAGCTTTTGTTATAAAGTAATACTATGGGATGTTACAAAGTGATACTATGAGATCATCTAGTTATTTAAATAACAAAGAAGCACACATCTGAGCCACATGATTTTAAAAATATGTCCACAGAAAGAGACGGCCAGAAAGACTGCCTTCTTTTTCTTGCCTAGGCTAATTTGCAAATAACGTGTCAAGGTGGGTTCCCCAGGAGGAAGGCTCCTCAAAGTGAAAAGTTTCATGGGAGCTATAAGGAGACTTTCCTACAGCTTTACAGGGTGATCTCTGTGATGCTGCTTTGAAAACTCTGCATCAGTCCTCATGGTGATGACCAAGACGACTGGGGTCTACACCCACCATGTGCCCTTGGGTTGAAGTGGACCCAGAATCAAAGGATGGCACCTTTTCACATGAGGCTTCCTGAGGCCTACACGAGGGGGTCTGCTTAACACATGCCTTGGCCAATTCAAGTCAGCTTCCTGGATCTGCCTCACGCTCTTACTGGCTAATACACCCCAAACCTTCTGCAGGTGAAAATTAAATCAAAAGTTTGATCACAAGCCATCTCCTCCAGGAGCGTATGAATACTATACCCCCTAAAATCCCAGGTTAAATCATATCAATACAGATTGAGCCCCCTCACAATTATTTCAATGGGACAGAACTGCACTTTGATGCATTTACACAGAAGAACGTGGTAGGATAAAGGAAAATAATCTGGAATTTCACTGCCCAGAAACCATATCCATTGAAATTTGGTCTATTTCCTTCCAATTAATGTGTATGCGTGTGTTTGCAAAAATTAACCACACTGTGTATAGACTTTGCCTCCAATCCTTTCCATGTCCATATTTTATTCACAGTGGAGAATTATGAAGCTGTTAAAAATTGTGTTTTTCCAAGGATTCTTAATGCCCCAGCCAAGGCTAAGTGTCTAATGTGAATTGAAAAACAATATAAAGAACAACAAAAAGACTAGGGGTCTGTCTGTCTTATAATTTTACAAAAGCAGAATATAAAATACTATGTTTACGGTAAAATTGGAATAAGGCCTGTAATTTAGTCCGCTGTCTTGTGACAATGTCAATTCACGTACCGTGATTATGTCAGATGTTACCGAGAAGGAAAGCTGGGGGAAGGGTATATGGCGCTCTCCCTACTATCTTTGTAACTTCTTGTGAGTCTATATTTCAAAATAAAAAGTTTAAAAATATTATGTTTAGTAAAACGTCAATGATATTAAATTTAAAAAAGAAGGGTGTCAGGGAAGAAGGAGTATGCTACAAAGCTAACAGCTCGTGTGGAGCAATGGGATGACACCTTAGGCAAGAGGGTGAGAGCCCAGGTGTGTACAGTCGGGCTGAGTTGGAGATGCAGGTTCTCCAGGCCTGCTGGGGACTAGTATCTTCAGGTACCATGGGGCACACAGCGTACCTCTGCTGATGTTGCTCCAGTAACGTCTGGCTCTTGCTCAGGGCTTGCTGCAGGACAGTAGAGACCTGTCTTTCAGAATCCACCTCCCCAGGTTCGTTCAGAATCCCGGGCCCATCGGCCACCCACTGCTGCCAGCTCGCCAGGGCCTGCTGCTGCTGGGCCGCCTCCTGCTGCACCAGCTGGTCCTCCAGCTTCCTCTCCAGCTCCTGGAGCTCCTACACAAGGAGGGGGCAGAGGGTGAACCCCACTGCACAAGGCAGGTGGGCTGCAGGGCAAAATCTGACCTCCTGGGTGTCTCGCTACAAGCCTGGCATGACCCTGTCTTGCCTGGTTCCCCATCCAGCTGTGCCACGTGGTGCAATGTGAGTGCACCACGATCTCTCACCCCTGTGTCACCTCCATGCCTCCACATAGGCCGTTCCCTCCACCTGCAGTGCCTTTCTCCATCTGCCTGACCAATCCCCAGTCTTCTTTCACTCCTCGGCTTAAGAAAAACCTCCTTGGTGAAGGGCTCCTCAGTGAAAGGATCCCTGAGTTCCTTGGGAGATGTAGATGCCCTCTTCTCACATGCCCACTCACTACCCCTTGCATGCACTCCGTTTCCTGTCACCTGAAATCACTGTCCTGTGCTTTTCTGCTAGAGTGTGAGCTCTTTGAGGGCAGGGCTGTGTCTCCTTCTCCCTGTCTGCAAAGTGCCTGGTGGCTGGCACCTGTCACTGCATATGGTGGGGTATCTGCATGCAACCATCATGGATGAAAGCCAAGTTGGAACACAGCAACCATGGCTAACACCACCATTACCGTCAGCGTCCTGGGCACTGCTCTGTGTACTCTTCATACATGAATCTCACTGAACCCTTATAACAACCCTTCAGAATACATACTCTTAGTTCTCTTGCTTTATAGGTAAAGAAACAGGCAGACAGAATTGAATTAATTTGCCAGATGATGCAACTATTGAGTGGCAGATCCAGAATTTGAAGCCAGGCTAGCTGGCTCTGAAACTGTGTTCTTAACCACTAGTCTACACTGTCTCTTCTTGGCCAAACAGAAGTAATCTGCATTCTTAGGCCACCAGGATTAGATAATCTCACACAAGAAACTGTCCACAGCCTGCTTAGGTGGGTGGTGAGGGGAGGCAGGAGGGCCCCAGGCCTTGGAGAATGCAGGTACATTTAACCCAGTATTTACCACATTGGTCAGTACATAATTAGGACTGGAAGGTGGATAGGGTGTTAAATCCTAAGAGGCCTTGGTTGGACTTCACCAGGGGAGGACGGTCCTTGATCCTCCTAAATAGGTACAAAATGGTCTGCCTTTCTGCAGAGAGGCCAAAGCTTGCATCAAACACTCAAAAGGGTCTCAAAGCCCCCTAAAGACTGAAACACTATTCAAGAACCATGACAGAAGAAAATCAGCCAGAGATAGACTGCATCTCTCTGTAGCATGGAGAGCCTTCTATCCTACCCAGGCATTTGGGTGCTGAGCCTTCGAGAACTCCTGAGCAGGGCTCCTAGTATGCTGAGATGTGGAACTATGACTATCCCTCTCGCTGCAGCATCCCACAAGGAAACACAGTCCAGTGGAGTTCCAGCAGTATGTGCTGTCATGCTGTCAGCACGGCCAGGAGCTGGAGGCAGAGATCCCACTTCTACCCAGATGCCAGCCCCAGCCCACCTCGAGGAGAAGGGAGGCTCACGGGAGCTGGAAGAGACCAGCTCTGCCAGAGGGAATCATGGATGGCTTCACAGAGGAAGTAACATTTGGGTTTGTCTTAGAATATGGAGAGGAGTCTTCAAGGAAGTACAGCAGAAGCATTCTAGGCAGAGGTCCTTCAAAGGGACACATGCCTGAATGTGTCTCCAATGCTCAGGGGGCAGCAAGAAGGTCTAAGGGCTAAAATGCAGGATCTGAGAGAGGGAGCGGTGAAAGGTGGGATTTTTTAATGTAGAGCTGGAGATGGGGCTGTGAATCATCACTTTTATTTTTCAGAAACATCCCCTTGGTCACCGTGCAGAGGGGTAACTAGAGTAGGGAGAAAGGGAGGTAAGCAGAAATTGAAGTTAGGACAGGAGCATGGGCTTTGGAGGGAGGTTTAAAGTCTGCTTTTCAGCAGTGGGACCTTGGTGAAATGACTTAACGTTCCTAAGCCTCAGCTCCTCTATCTGTAGAGTGGGTATGAAAACATCATGGGATGGACATGAGGTTTAAACAGTTAGCCCACTGCTTTGGACATAACGAGAGCTCCACTGATGCTGGCTAATATCAAGGTTATTTCTGTTGTTCCGGTCTAGATACATCAGACTAGTGAGGCTGAGCAGCCAACGGTGGAAATGATAAACCCCAGGCAGAATCAACAGATGGTGGCCAGTGGTACATGGGAAGAAAGGCAGAGGGAAGATCAGAAGATGCCAAGGCTGGGCGCAGTGGCTCACGCCTGTAATCCCAGCACTTTGGGAGGCCAACATGGGAGGATCACTTGAGGTCAGGAGTTCAAGACCAGCCTGGCCAACATGGCCTTGTCTCTACTAAAAATACAAAATTAGCTGGGCATGGTGGTGCATGCCTATAGTCCCAGCTACTCGGGAGGCTGAGGGAGGACAATCAATTGAACCCAGGAGGTGGAGGTTGCAGTGAGCTGAGATCACACCACTGCACTCCAGCCTGGGTGACAGTGACTCTGTCTCAAAACAATAAACAAAGAAGAAGATGCCAAGTGAGGCTCAGGAAAGTAAACACACAATTTAAATTGAAATGCAAATACAGTGGGTACCATTTTTTGGGGGTCACATTATCTGTTAGGAGTAACTCTATCCCATTTAAATTTGCCTATCATTGTCACTTGGCCCTTTCATCCAACTAAGCCTTGCATATGTTCCAAGTTCGCAAAATGAGTCTAAATCTTTCATCAGATGAGGTGCGCTGGATACAGTTTTCTTAGGAGTAATTTCTTCCAAAGCATTCTATTTCATGCTTTTTTAATTCTCCTGAATGTTTAACAGCCTAAAAGCCCATTCCCAATAGGAAAGTGGTTTACACAGAATGAGCAAATTGCAGAATGCAAGTCTAATATCTGGAACAAAACAACAGGCTGTCTTCATTTCAAATGCAAACTCAAGTAAGGGTGCAATAATCACATGCATTGCCTTACCACCCATTTAATAATACGGCATCATCTGATTTATCAGCTGCTCCCAACTCAGGACACACTAACTCTGTTCTAAACAAACTGGAGGCAGGAGTTACTCAAGAGTTTTAAGATAAAAAATGTAAGTGTTGTACTCTCCAATTATTATACTAATAGAAATCAGTGTGGTTTGAAGTAAAAAGCACAACTATGTGTTCTAGGGCTGTACTGAGGGTGTTTCTTGGGCACTCAGGATGAGCAGATGAATCATGCACTGAAGGCTAAATGTTCCTGGTGTCTCCCTCTGCCCCTAACTCACTAAATGACCTTGGACCTGCTCTTCCTTCTGCAGGCTCTATTTCCTCCATCTGGAATTCAGGGCAGTGATCCGCCTCCATGCTAACCACCTCGAGTGTAATACTTGCTGTGGGCTTTGGAGGGTTCCTTCTATTATTAATTTGCTACGGAGTTTTATCTTGAATGGGTGTTAAATTCAGTTAAGGACTGATATGGTTTGGATTTGTGTCCCCACCCAAATCTCATGTTGAACTGTAATCCCCAGTGTTGGAGGTGAGGCCTGCTAGAAGGTGATTGGATCCTGGGGGTGGATCCTTCATGAATGGTTTAGCGCCATCCATTTGGTGCTGTTCTTGTGACAGTGAGTGAGTTACAGTGAGATCTGGTTGTTTAAAACTGTGTAACACCTCCTCCACTCTCTCTTCGTTTTGCTCCAGCCACAAAAGATGTGCCTCCTTTCCCTCTACCTTCCGCCATAATTGTAAGTTTCCTGAGGTTTCCACAGAGGCTGAGCAGATGCATCATGCTTCCTGTACAGCCTGCAGAATTATGAGCCAATTAAAACTCATTTTTTTTTACAAATTACCCAGTCTCAGGTACTTCTTTATAGCAATGTGAGAACAGACTAATACAGAAAATTGGTACTGAGGAGTGGGCACCGCTACAACAATACTTGCAAATGTGAAAGCAGCTTTGGAATTGGGTAACCAAAGGAGGTTGGAAGAGTGTGGAGGGCTCAGAAGAAGACCGAAAGATGAGGGAAACTTTGGAACTTCCTAGAGACTTGTTACATTGTTGTGACCAAAATGCTGATTGTAAGATGGACAATGAATTCTAGGCTGAGGAAGTCTCAACCCGAGATGAGGAACTCACTGGGAACTGGAGTAAAGGTCACTTTTGCCATGCTTTAGCAAAGAGACCGGTGGCATTGTGCCCCTACTCTAGAGATCTATGGAATTTTGAATTTGAGAGTGATGATTTAGGGTATCTGGTGGAAGAAATATCTAGCAGCAAATCATTCAAGGTATGACCTGGCTGCTTCTAACAACCTATGCTCATATGTGTGAGCAAAGAAATGACCTGAAACGGGACCTTATATTTAAAAGGGAAGCAGAGTGTAAAAGTGTGGAAAATTTGCAGCCCACCATAGCTAAGAGAATGGGAAAAAGACCTGAAAAGCATTTCAGAGACCTTCACGGCAGCCCTTTAATCACAGCCCCAGAGGCCTGGGAGATAAGAATGGTTTCTTGGGCCAGGCCCAGTGCCCCGCTGCCCTGTGCAGCCTTGGGACCTTGCTCCCTGCATCCAGCCTCAGCTTAAAGGACCCCAGGTGCAGCTTGGACCACTGCTCACAAGATGCAAACTGTAAGCCTTGGCATCTTCCATATGGTGTTAAGCCTGCAGGTGCACAGAATGAAAGAGTTGGGTCTTATGAACCTCCGCCTAGATTTCAGAGGATATATGGAAAAGCCCCAATGTCCAGGCACAAGCCTTCTGCCAGGGCAGAGCCCTCATGGAGAACCTCTACTAGGGCAGTGTGGAAGGTAAATGTGGGGTTGGAGCCCCTACACAGAGTCTCCACTGGGACACTGCCTAGTGGAGCTGTGATAAGGGGGCCACTATCCTCTAGACTCTAGAATGGTAGATTCACTGACAGCTTGCATCCTGTGCCTAGAAATACTGCAGGCACTCAACACCAGCCCTTGAGAGCAGCTGTTGGGGCTGAATCACAGGGGCTGAGCTGCCCAACCTTTGGGAGCCCATCCCTTGGACCAGTATGACCTGAATATGAGACATGGAGTCAAAGGAGATTATTTGGAACTTTAAGATTTGATGACTACCATTTGCATTTCAGACTTGCCTGGGGCCTGTAACCACTTATTTTGGCCAATTTCTCCCTTTTGGAACAGGAATATTTACCCAATGCCTATGGCTCCATTGCATCATTGGAAGTAACTAACTTGTTTTTTAATTTATAGGCTCATAGGTTGAATGGACTTACATTGTCTCAGATGAGACTTTGGACTTTTGAGTTAATGCTGGAATGAGTTAAGACTCTGGGGGACTGTTGGGAAGGCACGATTATATCTTGAAATGCGAGAAGAACATGGTATTTGGGTGGGGTTACATCTCATGTCGAACTGTAATCCCCAGTGTTGCAGGTGGAACCTGGTGGGAAGTGACTGGATCACGGGGGTCCTTCATGAATTGTTTAGCACAATCCCTTTGGTGCTCTTCTCGTGATGGAGTTATTATGAGATCTGGTTGTTTAAAAGTGTGTGGCACCTCCCCCTACTTCTCTTCCTCCTGCTCTGGCTATGTAAGACATGCCTGCTTCCCCTTTACCTTCTACCATGATTGTTAAGTTTCCTGAGTCCTCCCCAGAAGCTAGGCAGATGCATCATGCTTCCTGTATAGCCTGTGGAATTATGAGCTGATTAAACCTCTTTCCTTTATAAATTACCCAGTCTCAGGGTATTTCTTTATAGTAATGCAAGAACAGACTAATATAAAGACTTATTCTCTATATACTAAAATGATCACATGAGTCACTCCCCTTTAATTTGTTAATCAGGTGAATTTTGTAAATGGATGTTTTCATGTTAAACCAACCTTATCTTCCTAGAATAAACCTAACCTGTCCATAATGTATTTATTTTTTACAGATGGCTGAATCCTGCTATTTTGTTTTCAAATGGTACATCTATGTTCACATGCAAGATTGAAGTGCAATTGTTCTTTCTGGTGCTGTTCATGTCTGGTTTTGGTGTTAAAGTTATCTAGCATGATAAAATGAGTTGAGGAATATTCCCTATTTTTCTAACACCAGGAATAATTAATATATGAGATTGGCAAAATACCTTAAACTTTGGCAACGAGTTGGGTGTCTTTTGTGTGGGTTTGGAAGATTTTAAAGTACTGAATCAATTTCTTTCATGACAACAGGGTTATACAGACTTTTTTTTTTCTACTTGAGCCAATTTTGGTGATTTGCATTTTTCTAGTTTTTGAATTCATTTCAGTTTTTGAATTCATCTGTATAAAGTTGTTGATAACATTCTCTTACTTAAAAAAACTCTACTGCAACTATAGTCATGTTACTTTTTATATTCTTAATATTATTGTCTTTTATATTTCTTAATGGTTGCTCTTGCCAAGGGTTTGTATATTTTATTAGACTTTTCTCAAAAAAATCTCTTCACTTTCTCAATTTTTTTTTTTTTTTTTTTTTTATTTTGTTTATGCTATATTTCAGAAGAAACACACTTTTGTTTTTTTTTTTTTTTGAGGGAATCTTGCTCTGTCTCACCCAGGCTGTAGTGTAGTGGCATGAACTCAGCTCCCTGCAGCCTCCACCTCCTGGGTTCAAGCAATTCTCCTGTCTCAGTCTCCAGAGTAGCTGGGACTACAGGCATGTGCCACCACACCAGGCTAATTTTGTATTTTTAGTAGAGACAGGGTTTCACTGTGTTGGCCAGGCTGGTCTTCAACTCCTGACCTCAGGTGATCCACCCGCCTCAGTCTCCCAAAATGCACATACTTTTAAACATATGTTTATTGAGGTATAATTTCTGTATGTTTTAGAAGAAACATGGTGTAAACAAAATAAAAAATAATACATGTGTTATTTCCCCCCTTTTTATATAATCTTAATTGTGAGCCTTTCTTCTTTTCTACTATCAGTTTAGGGCACAAATTTTCCTCTTAAAACTGCTTTAGCTGAATTGTACACAATTTCATATATCACAGTTATTCTCTGTATTTTTAAATTTCCATTATGTTATCCCTGACCTATAAACTATTCAAAAGCATGTTTTAAAATAAATTTGTAAAATTGATTTTTTTTAAAATTTTGATTTTTTTTTCCTAAAATCAACCTCTAAAATTGAATTTTTTTTTTTTTTTTGAGATGGAGTCTTGCTCTGTCACCCAGGCTGGAGTGCAGTGGCACAATCTTGGCTCACTGCAAGCTCCGCATCCTAGGTTCACGCTATTCTCCTGCCTCAGCCTCCCGAGTAGCTGGGACTACAGGCGCCCGCCACCACGCCCAGCTACTTTTTTGTATTTTTAGTAGAGATGGGGTTTCACTGTGTTAGTCAGGATGGTCTCAATCTCCTGACCTCATGATCTGCCCGCCTTGGCCTCCCAAAGTGCTGGGATTACAGGTGTGAGCCACTGTGCCCGGCCTAAAATGGATTTTTCAAAATCAATTAAAACATTTCTAAAGTCCAAATTATGGACACTTTATAATCATCTTTTTAAAAATGAATTAAACTTAATTTCCCCTTGTCAAAAGGTATTAAAATAATATTGTATAGTCAATTGCTTTTAACTGTTCTGATGTGTGCTGGAGATATAGATTCATTATTTTTTGGCTATAAGATTATTTATATGTGCATTAAAACACCTTGTTAAATGTGTTGTTTAGTTCATCTATATCTTTACTTGTGTTTCATTTGATCAATAAATCAACCAGAAGTATGCTGAAATTTCCCACTATGATGATAGATTTATCAATTTCTCCCTGTTCTAGCAATTGTTCTTGTTATTTTGAGTCTTTTATTAAATATATGCAAGTTAAACTCACTATATGCTCCAGGTGAATAAAATTTTTAAATCACACCTGTAATCCCAGAACTTTGGAAAAAAAAGGCAAAAAAAAAAAAAAAACCCAGCTGAGATGGGGTAAAACCCTATCTCTACAAAAAAATACCAAAAAAAAAAAAAAAAGCTGGGTATGATGGCACATGCCCATGTTGTCCCAGCTACTTGGAGGGGTGAGGTGGGAGGATTGCCTGAGCCCAGGAGGTCAAGGCTGCAGTGAGCCAAGATTGGGCCATTGCATTCCAGCCTGCTCGACAGAGGAAGACCCTGTCTGAAAAACAGAAAAAAAAAAAAATTTAAATCATTTTTGTAGTATCTTTAACAATTTCACAAATTATTATTATTTTAGATTCTGTGTTGATAATTTGGATCTCTAAAGTATTCAGGGATCGTAATCTGGCTTTGTTTGTTTCTCCTGTATGCAGGTCATCTTGCCTTGCTTCTTTATGTGTTCGGTGATTTTCTTCTTCAATTGAGAGCTCACATTCGGCTGAACTTGATCTATGGAAATCCTGAGCTACCCCACTGAGAATATTTTTTTTCTGGAGAGGATTTGTCTTTGCATGCAGACAGTGAACTAACCTGGAATTATTTTAATTTATCACCTCGGAGATTTCGTGACTGGATGGCTAAAATGCATTTGGATTCGTTCTTCATGTTAGCAGAGGCCTTCGATTAAAAACTCACAGGAAGAGCTTCACCTGGAGCAGGTGTGGAGATGGGTTCTGCCAGCAGGCAGCTTTCTCCTCCCACCCCTCGCTGGGTGTTCTCACTAACTGAGACATCCCACAGCCTCATCTCCCATTCCTCCAAAATTAATCCCAAGTCTCTGTGTTGCAGGTTTCAGCCTTTGTTCTGAGGTAAACCTGGCTCCTGAAGTTGCCCCCACCTATCTCCGTGAGTTCACCTTATCTAGGACATATCTTGCATATCTTCAGGGATTTTCTTCCATAGGCCCTTAGGAGCTCACAAAGCATTAAAAATATGTTCATTTTTATATGTCCAGCATCTGGCTATTTTGCGCTGGAATTACTTACAATGCTTTTGCTTCCTTTCTATCCCTAAAATAGTTGTTACAGTGCAGGGTGCATAGTGTCTGCCCACTCCCGAAATACTTTTAGACTTTTCAGCATCTACTGTTGTTACGTTTTAAAGAAAGTAATGGGAACCTCACATGGCAAACTCAACTGGTGTAGTCCACAGACATGACATAATGGGTTGAAGTCAGAAACAGATTCCATTCCTGGCTCCTTTCACAATCAGCCATGTGGTCCTCACAAAGAACTTGACCTGCCATCTGCCCTAATCTCAGTTTCTTTACCTGAGAACTGAGTATAATAACAAGATCTACTTTACCGCACAGCTAAATAATGAATATAATGACAAACAGCATAATTGTAAAGTAGCATAAAATTGTACCTTCTTATTAATTATGCTTCAGTAATAATCTTAGTAAGTATAACTAAGTAAAGAATTATGTACACTTAAGTGAGAGCATGTCTATTCACAACTTAGTAGCGCTTCCCTCCCCACACTAGGGTTTCAATAAATGTGAGGGGTTTTTTCCTCACTATATGTAATTATGATAATAATATACAATAAATGAAATTCTAAAATCTACACATAAAAGACCTAAAATTAGTCACCAAAACAGTTATTACAATAGCTTTTGTTTTATGGATATACCTCTCACATTTTGGAAAGAATGTAGCATGTTGCGATAACGCTAATAATTAGAATTTTTAAAATAATAAATAACCCAATATATTATTGCATTTAGGATGTGCTAATTGGAAGATACACTGTTGTCCTCTCTAGCATAACCAAAGAAACAATACCGCCAACGAAACCATGGCAACTGCCAAGGTTCAGAGATGTTAAAATCCAAAAAGGTTGCTTCTCAGAGCAATGAAATAGAGCCATCTTTGGTTGAGAGAGTGCAAAGTACTCTCCAATAAGTCACTTCGTTTAATCCTCATCACAACCCTGCAGCATAGACAGGACAGGGGTTGCAGCCTATTCCACAGGGGAAGATGCAGAGGTAGGTACCAGAAAGAACCAGCTCTGTCTGCCTCTCCTTCCCAGCGCCTGCACTCACCCGGCTGTGCGATTCCAGGATCTGCGTGCAGGCCGACTTGGTCAGCATCTCAGACGCACTCAGCTCTTCCAGGAGCAAGTCCTGGATGCTGAGGAGGGCGGTGTAGGCCGACAGGGTCTCGGTTATCCGGGCCGCCTTCTGGAACTGCAGAGCAACAAGCGACTGTGCAAAGCCTCCCTCCTGTGCCTCCAGCCGCTGCACTCTCTCCCGCAGCAATTCCCCTCGAACCTGGGAGGGGACAGGAATGGACCCAAACCCAAAGACCAGTGAGTAGAGGAGGGTGGAGGAGAACAGTCTTTCAGAGTTCACAGACCTGGGACTCTAAGGACCACCAAAGGTTTACAATGGAGATGCACTGGGAACCTGGAGGGAGCAACATCAGACAAGACTGTCCCTGCTTATGAAGACTCCAGGAGGGTTGGGGAGCCCAGCCATCCTTCATTCCATACATATCATCCTCAAGAGTCACCCGAGCCCATCGCTCTCCTGAAAACACTTCTAAGTCTTTCCATGTCCTAGCGGATGGAAGTTCAACTCCTTAGCATGCGATCCAAGGAGCTCCCTACCCCAGTCCCAGCCAAGGTCCCCCTGGACAGGTCTGGTCTGTTCTTCTGCCCTTACCCCACTCACACATGCACATCTGGGACTCCCATTCCCAGCTGCGCACTGTGCCCTACACGCCATGCGCTTTGTGTCTGTGGTTCGTGCTCTCTGAAATGACTGAAATGTCTTCCTATCCTCCCTTTCTGAAATTCTACTATTTGTCCTTTGGGTCTATGGTTCCCTCTGAAGCGGTCTCATTTCTCTTTGTTTGTTTTGTTCCATATAGACTTCAAGCCAGGTGCCCAGGGTTTACTTGACCTCAGGCAAATCATTAAGCTCTGCATGCCTACGCGTCTTCATCTATACAGTGGAGAAAATAATACCATCCAACACAGAGTAGTTGTTGTTTTAATCAAAACAGCTTTATTGCAGTATAACTTCTGTACAATAAGCTGCACATATTTACAGTACACAATGCGATAAATTTTGACGTATTTCTACCCCTATGAAACCATCACCACAACCAGGGTAGTGAACACATCCATGTTCTTGATAAACCCACCCCCTGTCCCCCTTTTTTTTTTTTTTTTTTTTCTTTCAGTTACAATCGACGAGTCTACATTTTCTAGAGTTGTTTTTTTTTTTTTTTTTTTTCCATAAGGGGAATCATACAGTATGTATTTTTTTGTCTAGCTGTTTTCCATTTTTTTTTGAGACAGAGTCTTACTCTGTCACCCAGGCTGAAGTGCAATGGTACAATCTCGGCTCACTGCAACCTCCGCCTCCTGGGTTCAAGCGATTTTCCTGCCTCAACCTCCCAAGTAGCTGGGATTACAGGCGTGCACCACCATGCCCGGCTAATTTATGTAATTTTAGTAGAGATGGGGTTTCACCATGTTGCCCAGGCTGGTCTCAAACTCCGGGCCTCAAGTGATCCACCCGCCTCAGTCTCCCAAAGTGCTGGGATTACAGGTGTGAACCACTGTGCCCAACCTATCTAGCTGTTTTGACTGAATATAATTATTTTGAGATTTACCTTTTACCATCTTCTTCTGGGTTGAGGAGCTCTTATGCTTCCCCCTTCCCTCCCTTTGTTGCTTTATTAGCTATAGCTCTGTTTTGTTATTTTAGCAGCTGCTTTAGGGTTTATAGTACACATCTTCGACTTATCCCAGGGTACCTTCAAGTGATATTATATCACTTCACATGGAGTACAAGAACCAAAAATAAACTTCTAAGCCCCGCTCTCAACCATCTGAATGGACTACTCCTCTCAGCAAAAGGATTCCAAAGTCAACCTGAAAAACTAGTTCAGGCCATGATGGGAATGGGGAGTTGAACATGCCTCCTTATACCGTCCTGCCTTTTGGAATTTCAGATTGAACAGACTCTTTAAGCCTGATAAGAAACATTTACAATCTATTCTCTCTGAAGCCTGCTACCTGGAGGCTTCAACTGCATGATAAAACCTTGGTCTCTACAACCCCTTAGTGTAACCCAGATGTTCCTTTCTATTGACAATAACTCTTTCAACCAATTGCCAATCAGAAAATCTTTTAATCTAACTATGATCTGGAAGCCCCCGCTTCAAGTTGTCTTGCTTTTCTGGACCAAACCAATGTACATCTTACATGTATTGATTGATGTCTCATGCCTCCCTAAAACGTATAAAACCAAGCTGTGCCCCAACCATCCTGGGCACACGTCATCAAGACCTCCTCAGGTTGTGTCATGGGTGTGTCCTTAACCTTGGCAAAATAAACTTTCTAAATTGATTGAGACCTGTCTCAGATACTTTTGGCTTACAAACCTTATGCTAATTTGCTTCCATTTCTTGATTCCTGGTCTTTGTGCTATTTCTGCCATACGTTTAATTTTATATACGTTATAAACTTCATACTACTTTGTCACTATTTTCATTGAAACACGTCAATTAATCTTTAAAATTTTCTTGTATTGAAGTGAACTGCACATAACATAAAATTTACTACTTTAAAGTCAACAATTAAGTGACATTTAGGATTGAGTAGCCCCCACCTCTATTTAGTCTGAGAACATTTTCACCATTCCCAGAGCAAAAGAAAACCCCACACCTCTTAAGCAATTATTCCCCAGTCCTCCCACCCCCAAGTCCTTGGCAACTACCTATCTTCTGTTTCTACGATTTTCCTTATTCTGGATATTTCATATAAATGGAACTACAGAATAACCTTTTGTGTCTGGCTTCTTTTACTTTGCATAATGTTTTCAAAGTTCATCTACTTGTTGCATCAAAACTTCATTTCCTTTTTATGGTGGGTAATATTCCATTGGATGTACAATCAGTCAATTTTTGGAAGACTTTTAAAATTAAAAGAGAATCTAATATAAGTACCCATGTAGTTACCATTCCCATTGCTCATTTTTTTGTGTGGTTCTGTAGCAGGAAGAGCCACAGACAAAAACCCTCAGACACTGGAGTTAAAGAAGGAAGGGGTTTATTTGGCCGGGAGCATCGGCAAGACTCCTGTCTCAAGAGCGAGCTCCCTGAGTGAGCAATTTCTATCCCTTTTAAGGGCTCACAACTCTAAGGGGGTCTGCGTGAGGGGGTCATGATCGATTGAGCAAGCAGGGGGTACATGACTAGGGGCTGCATACACTGGTAATTAGAAAGGAATTCAACAGGGCTGGGATCTTCACAGTGCCTTTTTAATGTAAATAACCAATTAGGTCAGGGGTTGATCTTTAATTACCAGGCCCAGGGTGTGGCGCCAGGCTGTCTGCTTGTGGATTTCATTTCTGCCTTTTAGTTTTTACTTCTTCTTTCTTTGGAGGCAGAAACTGGACATAAGACAGTATGAGGGGTGGTCTCCTCCCTTAGTTCTAGATTTCTATCTGTTACGAAAATCCTTCTGCCTGATTTCCTATAACATTTCTTGCAGTATGAATCTCCTAGTAAGGAAAACTTTCAGCATTGTAAGTCGAAAACATTTATTTCTTCTTCATTCTTGAAAGATGTATTTTTTGAATAAAGAATTTCAGGTGGCAGGTTTTCCTCATTGCTTTGAAGACATTGCTCCATGGTCTCCTTGCTCGCATTATTTGAAATGAGAAATCAGCTGTCACCCTGACCTTTGCTTTGTAGTGTACATAATGTATCTTCTTCCTTTAGTTGCTTTTAAGATTTTCTCTTTATCAGTGGTTTGGAGCAATTTGATTATGATGTACCTTGGAAAAATTTTCCTCAAGTTTCTTATGCTTGGGATTCACTGAGCTTCTTAAATCTGTGAGTTTACAGTTGTCATCAAATTAGGCAAAATTTTACCATTAATTCTTCCAATGTTTTCATCCTTCTTTTTCTGTCTCCTCTTCTCCAGGAATTCCAATTACCCACACATTAGGCCACTTGAAGTTGTCTCATGGCTCACTGGTATGCTATTTTTTTTCCTCTGTTTTCATTTTAGATAGTTTCTATTGCTATTATCTTCAAGCTAACTAATTTTTTTCAGCAATGTCTAATCTGTTGTTAATTCCCATATACCCACACATGTGTGTGTGTGTGTATATTCAAATCAAACTTTCAGAGAAAAAAATATGTATGATACAGATGTAAATACGGACATATAGATAAATCTTTTTACATCTTCCATATCTATACTTAACCTTTTTTGAACATATGAAACACAATTATAATGATTGTTTTACCCCATTTAGGCTGGAGGTTACAATTTTTTGTGTGTGAAAAATCAGAACTTGGTGATGACCTTGAGCAGTAGGATATAAACAACTCCCACAAGCTTAGCATTCCAATAATGGAACACTAGGCATAAATGGGTTAATCCCATTCTCTGTCAATTCTAACATCTGTGTCAGTTCTGGACTACTTTTTCTCCTCATGAGGAGTTATATTTTCCTGTTTGTTTCATGTCTGGTACTTTTTAACTGAACTACAGACATTGTAAATTCCACCTTGTTGGGTCCTGGATATTTTTGTGTTTCTATAATTATTCTTTAGCTTTGTTCTGAGATGCAGTTAAGCTACTTGGAAACAGGCTGACCTTTTGGGTTATGTTTTTAAGCTCTTTTATGTAGGACCAGCATAGGGCTCATTATTTCCACTGCCAAGGCAAGACCTTTTTGAGTACTATATTTGATGCCCTCTGAATTGAGGCTTTCTAGTCTGGCTGGAAGAAACTGTCACTATCCCCAGCCTGGTGTGAATGTTGGGTACTCTTCTCTCTAATTATTTTGGGTGGTATTTCCCCTGGCTTTGAGCAATTTTCTTCCATGGAAGTGCTGAGCAGGTCTCAGCAGAATACTCAAGGGGACCCAGTGGACACCTCTGGAATTTTCTCTGTGCAGCTCTTTCTTTTCTGGGATTCTGTCCTGTGAAATCTAGCCGACTCGGCTTCCCCAAATTCTTAGCTTTGTCTCTTCTACTCAAGGGGTCTACCCTAGTAGACCTGCTGTGACCTTGCCTTCTTGCTGTGCCTCAGCCTGGAAACCCTTTTAGGTCAGTAAGCTGGGACAATGACAGGGCTGAATTCCTTTATTTCTTATTTCTTAGGGATCAGTTTTGACTGCTGTCCAGTGTCCTGAAAATCACTGTTTCATAGATTTTGTTTGTTTTGTTTTAGGTAAGGAGTAATTCCGATACTTTTTATTCTGTCTTGGTCACAAGCAGAAGTCCCTCATAGGGTTATTCT